GCCTCGGCGGCGGCGTGTGCCAAGGTGGGAGGCGGCGCGATGCAGTTCGGGGGATCGAGGGAGGTAAGGTGAGGTGAGGGGATCGTGGGAGGGGGTGGATGTTTTTTTTTTCTTGTACCGGTTCGGGAGTTCCGGAGGTCCTGCGTGCGCCCTTATAGAGTGATCGTGATCCAAATAACTATTCTAATCCTGGGATTAGAATAATGTTGTCCTATATATATATATATATATATATATATATATATATACTAGTACAAATGCCCGTGCGTTGCACCGGGCGATAAAAATGATAGAACCTGCTTGATGGGTCATTTTTCGCCATTTTTAATATCTAATTCTAATAAATGTTGAACATGGAAATTTCTTTTTTTAATAAATTCATTAAAATGTAAACTCTATAAAATAATTTTTTTTGAAAAGAATGTATTTTTGTAGTAAAGAAGTGATTTTTTGGGCGAATTTTTAAGTGTTTTTAAAAATTATGAACATATTTTTTTGAAATATTTTTAAACTGTTTTTTGTGTTAACTTTTTGGGTATTTTTGTTTGGTAATTTTTACAGATAGTTGGTAGCTTGGTTGGGAAATTTATTTTTTTTACTATCTGGTCTTGGCCCAAACAAAATAGTTAAGGTGCATGGAAGGACCCACGAACTTATCTTCGTACCGCTGCGACCCCTAAAAGAAGATCTTCTTACTATTGGGCCGTGAGGGCCCAACAATGTGTAATTGACCCTTTCTTTTGCTACATATCTAAAACTACCATCAGGGATGCAATTAAACTAATTGATAATTGAAGAAAGAGCGGAATATATGAAACTTCAAGAATTATTCCAGCATCATGTCCAAGAATAATAACCAAGTTCAAGCCACCATGTTCAGGTATATATGTAGTCATCAACATGAAATTCTTTGGTTCAATCCAAATGCCATGTGTACATGAGCTAAATATACTTATACCGGTCTAGCACAGAAAGAAGTACATGATCGGCAATGGCAAAACCCGATACAGTATAGACTTGTATACCAAGGGAAACTGGAACAAAATGGTTTACAAAATGTACAAGCTTTACTCTCCAGACTCTGCAGGCTATAAAAACAGAACACACTCAGGTGCCGGTTCTTCAAAATATAAAGTCGTAGCTGCATTTGTTCAGAACAAAGAATGAAGCATTCATAGCTTAGCCGCCCTCTGCTTCAGTTAAATAATACGTGCTAGCTTGCTTATGGATGTGCCCAGAAAATTCAGTGTGAACAACTCTGAACCTGACTCTGGCTAAAAGAACAAAATCATTGGCTTGATTTAACTTATTATGTGTTCTGCATTATGGACACCGTGACATCAGTAGCAACTTAGTGACATGTTTCAATTGGTAAATATAAGAAACTTAGTGACGACGCGTGTTATTTGAGGATGACAATTGTTCTCTCCCATACCCTTAATCAACTCATACACTCTGATATGTAAATTCAGGCCATATACATTCAGCTTCTACCACACAAAAAATGAACCTAGAAAACCTAGCAAGTACTATTACTTTTCAAGGACCAAAAACTTGAAAGAGGAATAACATAGAAGAAACGAAGAACAAACCTCTAGTGGAAGCATTACATGCATTTGTGAGTCCAAGCATAATATCTGCAAGAAATTCAGAAAATACAACATGCCTCCAAAATTCAGAGATCTCATGACAGATGGACTGATGCCCAATATATCTTTAGATAAAGAGGGGGGGTGAGATAAAGAATGTGCATGTTTCCCTAGGTAGTCTGATGATCCGAAGCAAATTATCCACAAGGAATAGAAAAAAAAATCAGTAGAACATCCAAGGACCAAATGGGCAAACAATAATATAATCTTGAAAAGAAATACCAACATTAGTAAATTTTACCACGAAACAATGGCAGTTCTCTGGCACTTCTTTCCTTGTACCCAAAATAATTCCAAAAATAACAAACAACAAATTACAAAACCAGAGAAGGTAATCTGGTGTACTTTAGTCGTCGTATAGTGCTTCTACTTAGCCTAATAGGGGTAGCGCCACTCAAAAAACCAGCAAATCAAATCAATCTTGCAAGCTTTTTCTTCACTGTAACTATTCCGCAAGACTGCTCAAATATAAGCTATTTAGTGGAGCACAACTATAGTACTGTGCGATATTTAGAAATCAGCTTGTGCGCTCAAGTGCAACTCAATTGCATACCAGTTTGGTGATGGCAACTAAATCTGAAATCCAAAAGCTTAAGTAACGTCAAAGTTGAGATATCGCTTCCTTGCAGCTATGTTTCCACTGACAAATCGACTTCCTGCTAATGGAGCAACCCAATGATTAGTGGTAACATAATTAAAATACTGCAGTGATACTTTCTTGTTGGTAAGAAACTTAATTTCAGTGCTAGAGATAAATTATTTGTTTCAGCATGCTAGAAATAAATTCTTTGTTTCGCCAAAATGACAGTATTTTTCTGTTCGGGAAACTTGATGTTTCGGCAAGATCCTAAAAACAGCAGCAATAAATATTTGCAGTAGAATTATCACATATCTCGGCCTCACCATCTCAAAGCGACACATAAGACAAACAAAAAGGAAATCCAAATCGCACTTGTTCCTACTATATATCTGCAGATCACAAACCATGGCTTCACAAGCTTCCGCCACTCTAGCACATATGCCCGTCCGAGGTTCAACTATCATTATTCTCTTGTGTACAATCAGGACAGAAGCAGCATAATTTTTCTGACACTTGAATTCAAAACAACTACTAAAACCAAATTCATGTTGCTATTTGGACGCACAAATACTCTGTATCAACTAATGCATTGTGCATGGAAAACGGGAAATTACCTCTTGTTACAACCAGGAGCTTCAGGATTTACTTTGCTTGTTAATTCCACCGACTACATTGGTGTAGCTCTCTTCCTTGCCGGGTCTATTCCTCAGCTGCTGCACAAGAATAAACAACAGTAAGCGATTTAGCCAATGTGAAGTCATCGTTTTACTTGCACCTATCTTAAATCGGAAGTGAAAAAGAAACTCAACTGTGCACATTAGCAGAAATCATCGTCAACAAAGCCATAATGTACTGCCATGGGAAACAACACCAAATAAAGCATCATCAGTTCATATATGTAAGAAAAAAAATATGCTAGCAAGCAACAGTGCTGCTCCCGAAACTGTAACCGTCGAGTCCCGCGAGATACATAACCATCGACCATTGTTTCGTCACTTTGCTGCACATCAGACATACACGCCTTTGCCCAAACATCAGGGAAAGGTTTGGGCGCTGTCATCTTTGAATCTAGGGACAACCAAAAATAACAGATCAATCTCCATGCCCAACATAATTTGCAAAATCAAGTGAGTATTTCCTCTCTCGATCTCCTGGCTCTGCTCAACTACGGGAGCCGGCAGAGCCAGACAGTGGAACTTGTGTGCGCAAACGTCAATTCCATAGCAGGTCATGAGCCGGCGAGCAGCGCCCCGAGGAAGTGGAGATGGATGTACCAGGGAGAGGCAGCAGTATCTTTGCGCACAGCAGCATGAGGCAGTGACGGAGATCCTGGGGGAGGCACGGAGGTGGCGAGGTCAGTCCTCGGCGGGTTCACGCACAATTGGGTGTCCACCGGCGGGCAGCGCGCTCCGCGCGCCGCCGGACCTTCACCATTGACCACGCCTCCGGCCATCTCTCCTTCCTCTCCCTTCCCTCTCTCTTTACTCCTGTCTCTCTCTCTTTCTCAAAATCTCCCTCCTCTTCTCCCACAGGTAGCAACCACTATGGATGGTGCTGCCCGAAGCTTTGCTAGCCTCCCATGGCGTGCCCCCACCTCCACTCCGGTCTCTCCTCGCCGGATCCGCCCCGCCGCACCCATTACCGTGCCCCTCGAGCTCCGGCCTCCTCCCATGGCGTGTTCCGCCTCGACTCCGGCCTCCTCCTCGCCGGATCCGCCCCCAGCCGCTCGAGCCACCGCGTTGACCTGATCCAGAAGCTGGGCTTGAGCGGCGGCGCGACGGCGGGTCGAGTTCCGGCGGATTCCGGTGGGGCGACGACGGGGCGGAGTTCGGCGGCGCGCGGCGGCGTTGCAGGGCGTGGCGGCGCTGGAGGTGGATGAGATTGGGGTTCATGGGTCGTTCGTGTGGCTAGGTTTTTTTTTCTTTCCAGGGGGACCGCGGGTTGAATTCTCAAAACGGCAGGGTTCTTTTTGTAATAACGAAACGTTTTCTGAGATAGCAACTTAAAAAGGGACTGCGGGTTGAATTCTTGAAAATAGAGGGGCTTTTTTGCAAAAGTGATGACGACGTACGGGCAGAAGCATTAGCTGCTTTATTAGTAGGGAAAGATATATATATCTTTCCCTACTAATAAAGTACGGAGTGCTTCTGGTCGTCCGTCATGGTCGTTTTACAAAAAAGCCCCTCCGTTTACAGGAAATCAACCCGCGCTCCCTGTTTAAGTGGCAACCAGAGAAAACGTTTCGGTTTTCCGTCGTCGCTTTTGCATAATAGTCCCTCAGTTTATAAGAAATCAACCCGCAGTCCTACTTAATGTATGCTCCTGATGAGATAACGTTTCGATTTGTTTTGCATAAAAACCCCTGCCACCACCCCCACCTCCGCCCACTTATCCATTGCCGGATTCCTCCATTGCCTCCCTCCACCGAACCGCCGGGCACGCCCCGCCGATTGCCACCGGCGTCCTCCGCAGAAGACAAGGAAGGGATGATGCGTCGCGGTGAAAATAACGGTTCGTCGGGGAAAAAAAGGAGTCACCCGCATCCACCCGCACCCGCTCGCATCGCCCTCCTCTCCCTCCCTGTTGCAGCAGTCAGAGTTTGTGCTAAAATTTCAGATTCGAATTAATAGTCCCACCCCGCAACTTTACATCAAATCCTAGCAACTTATATACTTTCCAAATTGCAAGAATCAACAAGCCAACGAAAGAAGTGTGAGATACAATCAATCAAAGAGGAACGGCACATGAATCCAACAAAAAACAGTGGTCGCGGCGGCAAATTTGACATTCCTTCTAATAATCCTCATGGAAACAGAGTTGAGAGAATACAGAAAAACATTGATACCATTGGCAGCCGCAGTGCACACGGCACCACCACAACGCATCCCGCCAGGCAGCTGCCGAGGACGACACACAGCAGGCGCTGCGCCAGACCGCCTCCCGCGCCTCCACACAGGCCTGCCGATCTGGCGAGCAACCGAGCCAGCCCCGCATCCCCTATCGCCCAGCCACCCACCGGAGAGCTCCACCACCACGGCACGGGGATGCCGCCGCCGCCGCCGTCACAGGCCGGGCCGCGGCTGGACGACGAGGCGTTGGCCTTCTCGGGGTCAACGCGAGCAGACGAAGCGGCGCGAGATCATCGGCCGGACCTAGGGGGGCATGCGCAGGTGGCGGAGGCTATGGACGTCCGAATCGAGCCGAAGCCGACGCAGGGATCAGATACTGGGCTGGCGGCCAGATCGGGCGACGCAGCTCCAAACCGCCATCCATGGCGTCCTCTCGTGGTTCCTCACCGACAGGGGGGTTGCTGCCCTGGCCCCCGCCAGCCACCACGGCTGCGCACAGTGGGAAGGCTAGGCCAAGCTGTTCGTGGGCTAGATCGGGGTGGATGAAGAAGAGGAGGTGGAATGGCCGATGTGTGTTGTGTGTTGTGTGTGGATAAGGAAGAGGCACGCAGTGAGCGGTGGTGGGCGGCAGTGGGTGTTGTTGCTGCCGCACCGAGCGGAAGCTACTGGATGCTATTTCTATTGTTTGATTGATGTTACTGGCATAATTTATTCATGTCTACCACATCATATGAATATATTATCAGACATATTGATTTAAAGTAAGTGAAATATTGGAAAGAGATACTACTATTTCTTAGAGCATACGCCTCATACGCCCGGACGGGCCTCCCGGTCACGATTTTTTAACCCAGACAGGCCCCTCAAACGCCCGTGCTCACCGGCACACACCATATCTAACTTAAATATGGGGCGGATATGGGAGCGCCCCGGCATGCCCGCCATATCGGACCCGGTCCACGCTGGCCCACCCGATCCCACATAAAATCCTTCACACCGCTCGTCGGACCAAACCCTAGCCACTTCCCTCCCCTCCGCCACCCAAGCTCGTCTCTGGCTCCTTCCGGTCGTCT